GGAACCAAAACAGCACAATTCTAGCTACTGGAAAAGAAACCCAGCGCTATTTCAGCTAAAAGCCAGGACACACTATTGCACAAATATCTACGGTTTCCTTCTAGCTGCTCTAAATAGGCAACATTTAGAGCACAGCTGTATCAGCACAGAGGGTATGATAACATCCAATAGTCGGGTGAAAGAGGAGACATATAGGAGTGAAACTCTTAAAGACTTATTCTGAAAAAGGAATAATAATGTGAGACTACAGAGCTCTGGCAAACATGCAGTAGCAAACTAAAATCAGATGACTGAAGCTACCACATTCCTACCCATCCTCTCTATCCATCTGATGGCTGATTGTGACATAGCCCAAGAGCATCTGATCTGCTAGTCAATCAGCACCACAGCACACCTGCTGCCAAATTTGTGCCAAACCTCCAAAGGTAAGAGGACATAAAAAAATAATAAAGGTATTTGGTCAGGTAATACAGCAAGCTAGTGCATAAGAACCACAATATGCCAAAATCCCCAAGATGAGTGCCTTCGTTTGCCTACCCACACTGACTTTCTCAGTTGAAAAGCCCATCTCTACAAATCCTGTCATCCCTGTAAAGAAAGCTGGCTCATTTGCACGGTGGTTTAGAGTTAAACAGTGTCATTATAAGCCAGCCACTTACGAAGCAGTCAGGAAAGGTTGCAAACAGCTGTATATGCACACTTACAGATTACACATGTCAATCCTGGGAGGAGACAACGGCAGTAGTTGAAGGAGGAGCTTTACTCCATTCTTCCATCCTTCCTCTTTCTCAAATTCACAGAAAAGGTAGGTACATTCATCTGCTGAGAACTGGTAGAAAGCATGACTATCTTGAAAATAGAGTTGTCTGTCCACTGTTAAAAAAAATAACATTAGATAGCCTTTAAACCTTTACCATGTAAAGGTTCTGTGTCCCTACCACACTCCATGTTGCACTTGACTTTAATGCTGAGTTGCACCACCACACAGAGCAAAAGTATCACAAACAGCATAGAAGCAATCCTGTCCTCTCATATTGGTGCATCCAAACCAGACAACCCCAAAACCTCAACTTGAAGATCTCCAGGCTCCTGAAATTGAGGCATTAAGACTACTGAGTATTTAATCAATTTTGGAATCCGTTCAGAATTAGGGGATAAAAACCTTCCACTTAACAGATTTCTGAGCCTTAATTTCCATTGGCTTCTAATCTATTCTCACTAATGGCCAGGCACTAGTAAACAAAGTTCAATAATGTGAATGCAGCTCATCTTTATATCAACTTCTCCTCAAATTCAGGGCTACTGGATTTGTAGACTAGACCTGGGTAAAATGATGCATCAGTACAACAGCCATTGTCTTCCCTGGCATAACTGGGATTGAACTGGGATTGAAGGATGATGTCCAAAGCCAAAAGCACAAGGTCCTGCTGGGAGAGTCATTCAGCCCTTGCTGAAGCTGCATGATCAGACATACTTTCAGTGCACTTGGAGCAGAAGAAAACTTGTAAGTACACTGTCAGTGTACGTAAGCATAAATCTTCCATAACAGCCCACCTTTTTGTAAGGAGGAAGGTTAAGTGTCCAGCACAGACCCCAGGGCAGGGTATGCTCTGAGTTGAGCTACCTAAGTACTCCCAGTTACAAAGTAAAGTCCATCAGATTTCCAGAGGTTGGTTACTCCTGGAATTATCACCAACCACATTAGCTGGACCAAACATCTAAATTTGGTGGGGAAGGTGGGGACAGCTGTGTAGAACCTGGCATAAACACCGTCCCACGGAGCTGAATCCTCCCTCAATCCATGTAATCTAGAACTATGAAAAACAGAGAGAGGAAGGGAAAATCACTAATAGCTAGAGGATTCATCTGGCAAAGCCATGATCTGCGGTGACTAAACAGCTGCTGTCTTGTGAAAAATCTAAAAGAGCTTGAGAAGGAAAACAAAAAAAAAAGGCTGGAAAAGACAGGCATGTTGTCTGCAACTTGGCAATAGACAATTACACTTGCAAAAGCAGAAGGGAAAAAAAAAATGCCTAAAAAAAAAAAATATTCATATTTGGTAGTTATGAAATGAAAGGTCACAGAGGTGAGCCAACCAAAGAGACAGTAAAACAAAAAACTCAAGAAAAGGAGATCAATCTGCGTTTTTTTTTCTTTTCCTCCTTCCTCTTCCACCAAAGACATGAGTCTTACCCTATGGAGGAGAAACTCATAGCCTTCCTCATGCTAGAAATACTACCAAGACTGACCTGATAATATAATGCCCATATCCAGGAGGAGCTGCCACACTCCAACTGCTGTAGATCTGCACTTAACAAAAGGGCACTGCTCCAAAAGCCAGTCTACCAGTTCTGATCCAACACAGCTTCTCCTGAAAATAAGCAAAACATCACTTCTTACACTACAGCAATGATAAATTGATCTTTTATAATAAACATCTCTTTCTTAGAGCTATTAAATCTTTTTGTTCAGCGGGGCAAACCCTTTGCCTCAATTACTAATTTTTGTAATCCTATTAATTTCAAGGGAAGAAATTATTCTGGCAAATCTCAGGGGATGCCCCTAGTTAAAACAAGGGGACTTGTGTCAGATGAATAAGTTCCCTTACGTACTTCATTCATGTGGCACACTTTACAATATGTAATATTTTTATCAATTTGTGCTGCATACAGACAATCATCCATATATATATATATGAGTTAAATTAAGTCCAGCTTTTAGCCTCAAGATTTTATTTCCTTTCTAAGCATTAGCATAAGCAATACAGGTACACAATATATGTGGAAGACCTTGAGTGCTGCTCTAGCATGTACTTCATCTTTCACATTATTGGTATACTTACCTTTTAAATCATAAAAAAAAAGAAGCTGTGGCTTTTTCTTAAATATGGATATGAATGAATGGTGCTATAATAAATACCTGCACATTTTGGTTTAATTGAAAATAGGAGGAAGCACTTATGCTGTAATGCAATACAAAGGGAAAATCACTTAATTACAGAAATATTCCATAAATAACATGCCAAAGTCACTGTGTAACTAAATCTTAGGAATCCAATTAATCTCTTCTATAACTTCAGACCAGGGCTGAATTTAATACTCTTTCTTTTCAACAAAATAACAGACAAACAATTGTATATGAATTCATAAGCAATTAAATTAACGGACATACAATCAGGCCACTGCTGCTTTCTGACAACTGACAAAGGAACATAAGAAAAGATATTGAAATACATGAGATTCTAAAGAATTTTTTAATAAAATATTTTCATTTCTTAGTAACAGAGACAAAATCTCACTCACTCTCAGAATTTACCCTCTTGTCAAATCAAGGCATAGACAAATGCAAATAAAACCCATCCAATTTATTAAAGTGAATGATCTTGGGTTACCTGCAAATGCCAGTAAGGTACACTCTGTCTTTAATCAGGTCAGACGCTTGTAGAGTAAAAATATTCCTGAGAGCTCTCCCAGCACAGGAAGAACTTTCTCCATAAATCTGAATGAAAAGAGAAATTGAAAACTGTGACAAATGGGGATTTATTCCTGCTATAGTAAATTGCCTTGACACTGTCCACTCCCTCCCTCCATGCAATGCCTTCTCCCCAGCAAAACAACAAGCAAGCAGTCAAAGCCTCATAGGATATACACCCCAACTTCTGCCATACCCAGTTGTATCATGGGTCACAGATGCCCCCACAAGCTGGACTACTTCTACAATTGCTGCTTCAGAAAAGCAGAGGTTTCTGTCAACTTCACCTTTGAACAACAGACAAGTTCAAATGAAAACAAGTGCTATTCTAGCAAAGCAAAAAGACTTAAAAATTAACCATTGCAAACCCACACAAATACAGTTAAGATTAAACATTCATTCCATTTGTATTTGAGTTAAATAACTTAATACAAGTCTAATACACATTGAAACACCATTTCACAGCTTTTTCTTGTGCTATGTTTTGGTTTCAGTGTGGGATTTTTTAAGATAAGATCATTGATAACATACTAATGTTTTGAATTGTCACTGGAAGTCAAAGGACTGTGTTTTGCTAGTCTGCAGGTACAAGGTCTGGGGGCGTGAGGAATATTAAAATTAGTAAGCCAAATTTGCATTTGGATATGTCAATGGGATATTCTATATCATAGAAAGTCATGTTCAGCATATTAATAGGGGTCTCTCTCTGGCTCTTGCTCAAGCTCTCACTCTTTCAGGATTGCAGTTTTGGTTTTCAGGACTGTTGCTTCTCCAGGGTTGTTATCCAAGAATGGGCTGGGATTGGTCAGTGGTTGGTGAACAACTGCACTGTGTGTCAATAATTTGTATATTTTATTATTACTATTATTATTATTTTACCATTATTATTGTCATCATTATTTTAAGGTGGTTTTTTACTTCAATTCTTAAATTGTTCTTTTCTCAACCTATAGGTCTCCTTACCCTTACCCCTCCAATTCTCTCCCCTGTTCCTTGTGGGGAGGGGGGAGAGTGAGCGAGCAGCTGTGTTTGGCTGGTAGCCAAGTGAAACCACCACAGACAGCTACACATCAGATCATCCGTACCTTGCCAGGAGGATGTGGTCTTTCAGAACAGATACACCTCTGACTTCCCCCACACTTGATTTCCACCTTACACCTCAAGGATGCAGATGTGCCTATCAAAACAGGACCCAACTCCATCTTCCATAACACCATGTTCCACATGGACTCTGTGAACCACTCCTTACTGATGAATTTATCTCAGGCTTCTGTTGTGATGTTTCCTCACGGTCTCCGTAAAACATATCAGTAACGCAACTAACTTGAAAGAAAAACAATGTTGTAGTTTAACCCTGGGGGGGTGGGGGTAGGGGGTTTTCTTAATTGATTTAGGGTTTTTTTTGGTGGGTTTTGTTTGTTTGTTTGTTTCCTATGTTTAGGAATCTTTCAAGGAATACAAAATAGTCCCGAGACAGTGGTCTTGTGAGATGCAAAAAGAGAGCTCTCAAATATTGCAAAAGTAATGTAAACAATGGCAATCATTTAAATGTCTGGGAAGCAAGTGCATGTTGGAATTCACAAGAAGTCAGTTGGCAAATTCAGTAGTAGTAGAAGACCATTTCAAAGACGCACAAATTATAAGTTGTTAACTGGATTTAACTGCAGGCCACATTCACAAGTGTCTTCAAAGCTATGATTAGGAGGTTGAACCAAAGCAAAAAGATTCCTAATATGTTGTTTGATGAAACTGAATTAAAAAGAAGCTTGACAAGTACCTTGTTTGAAGGAGTTTCCAAATAGGGATTTGAGATTCTTCTGGACAGGGTCTGTAAGACAATTTGGTAGAGTTTTAGTTTTGTTCTGGTTTTTGTATGTGGAAAAAAAGTAGCAGCAATCAAGATCCTTTAAATATTGAAATCTAAATAAAAAGAATTTATCAAATCATCCGAGTAGTCTAACTGAAGTCTCCAAATATTTTTTTTTTTCCACAGCAGTAAAAAGGTTTGGCAAATTCACTTCTGTGTTGTTTACTACATTTATTCTTGATCTGGAAAAGAAGATGAGCAACAAGGTGGCAAAGTCTGTAGACAACACACAATTATTTGGGTCAGGAAAGACCTGAAATAGTAGCGAATAATTTCAAAATAAACCTAAAAAAAGCTAGGTAAAAAGACATTATCATGATGAGCTCAGCATTAAAAGCAGCATGTACTAAAGCAAACTGTATCAATTCAGTAAAGACACCTCAGGGTCACAGAACACTCCTCAAGGAAAACTACTCTTCTAAATTAAATTCTTAACTGTAGATAAAAAAAAATACTAGGATAAATGAGGAACAAAACGGTGACCAGTGGGGAGGTAACACTGCCCTAATGTAGACCAGCATTATATCGGCTGTGCCACACGCTGCACTGGCAACAGCACCTCAAAAAATGGACGCTCCAATGTTAGAGGAGATTCAGACAACAATAGTAGTAGGAATAATAAAATAAATTTTAATATGAGAAGAGACAGAAAAGACTGCGACTACCTTACAAAGGAGAGATTACAGGAGACACAATGTAATTATACAAAATAATGAAATGGCATGGACAAAAGACAGACTTTGTGTGTTCTGTTTTATGCAACATGAGAATAATCAATCACTCAGTGAAATTAGAGAGGATTCATATTTGAGGGGACAGACAGGAAAATTACCCGTAACTTGTCACAGCAAGGAAAGGCAACTGCCAAAACCTTACCGCTGATCAATAAAGATTGGGGATTTAAAATTATAAAATTAACAATGAGCCAGAACTCTGGAAGGCAAACAGAGACAGGATAAACATCTCTACAAGAGTGAGGTTACCCACCTTTATCACCATGGTACTTCCATATCTTGTCAGTGTTAAAAGACAAGATATTGTCTACTCTGATGCTTACTGACAACTTCTATCTTACTATAAGCCACACAAGACACAAATAAACATTGCCTAAAAGAAGTCTAGAAGTGGAACAGAAGACGTTGTGCAGGTGCACTGGCAGCACAATGGGAGGATTGTGTGGTGCTCCCTCACATTATTCCAACTTGTAGACAGCATAATTAATTCCTTGCTTTGAGAAAGATCCAATTCACACTTGTTATATCGTAATCATAAAAAAATAGTCCTTCACACCCTGTAAGAATTACAGAATCCATATTTCAGTAATGCCACCTGCTTCCCCCCCCCATATTCTTGTTACTGTATTTTTTGAAAGAGAAGGGAAGTTACAGGGAACCACAGAAGCATCTAACACTGTTTACCCTTCCACGCTCATCACAAACATTACTGTAGTTCCATGTGTAACAGTAGCTCCAGTATATAGGAAATACTATAACATAAAAGCTTAATTCCCCTCTCCCGTAGCCAACAAAGATGTCGTAAGAGTGCATCATTGCCTCAGATCCCACTTCCTCTTTATAGCCAGCATGTCATTAACACCCGGGTTCTGCAGCAGCCTTGCATGCCACCACTTCACTTGGTTTCCATCCATATCTTTCATTCAACAAGCCTCACTCACTGCAGTGGCATGGTCAAAGACTATACATCAATTTCCCCCCTCCCCACTTAATTCCTGGGCTGTCACTAACAGCGTTCCCATCAGGAAGCCAATTCCAGTGATGCCGGTGGCATCTACAGCCCCTGGCACTGTACTGGCCCCGTCACTGGCATTCCGAGTAGGGCTGAGCCTCTGCCAGGGAAAATACTGCTACTGAGGGGTGCAGCTACACGACAGCCAAACTCAGCAAAAATGACAAGTCTCCTTCTACAACAGGGCTACAGCACTGGTGGATAAGGGAAGAGTGGCTGAAGTAATCTACTTGGACTTACGCAAAGCATTTCATACTGTCCCACACACATTCTTGTCTCGAAAATGGAGAGATATGGATTTAATGGGTGGACCACTTGGTGGATAAGGAATTGGCTGGATGGTCACACCCAAAGTGTTGTGGTCAATGGTTTGATGTCCAAGTGGAAACCAGTGATGAGTGATGTCCCTCAGGGGTCCAGGACCAATATTATTTAACATCTTTGTCAGGAACATGGACAGTGGGATTGAGTGCACCCTCAGCAAATTTGCTGATGACACCAAGCTGAGGGGTGTGGTTGATACTCCAGAGGGAAGAGATGCCATCCAGGCTAGAGAGAGGGGCCCATGTGCTAACCTCATGAAGTTCAACAAGGCCAAATGCAATGTCCTGCACCTGGGTTGGGGCAATCCCAAACATAAATACAGACTGGGAGATGAGTGGATTGAGACCAGCTCTGAATAGAAGGACTTGGGAGTGGTGATGGATCAGCAGCTCAACATGAGCCTGCAATGTGCACTTGCAGCCCAGAAGGTCAACCATATCCTGGGCTGCATCAAGAGAAGCGTGGCCAGCAGGTCGAGGGAGGTGATTCTCCCCCTCTACTCCACTCTCATAAGGGCCCCACCTGGAGTACTGTGTCCAGTTCTGGAGCCCGCAACGCAAGAGAGACATGGACCTGTTAGAATGAGTCCAGAGGAGGCCACCAGGATGATCTGAGGGCTGGAGCACCTCTCCTGTGAGGACAGGCTGGGAGAGTTGGGGTTGTTCAGCCTGGAGAAGAGGAGGCTCCGGGGAGATCTTATAGAGGTCTTCCAGTACCTGAAGGAGCTACATGAAAGCTGGAGAGGGACTTTTTACAAAGGCAGGTATTGAAAGAACAAGGGGAAATGGCTTTAAACTGGAAGAGGGGAGGTTTAGATATTAGGAAAAAATTCTTTACTGTGAGGAAAATGGAAATTGCATAGGGGAAAATAAAACAAAAGTGGAAGTAGCATTCTGGAATAGAAAAAATTGTCTTACCTGTTGATGCTAGTGCAGCCTGTGCAATGTTGAAGCACTGCAGTTCGGCTGAAATTCCTATCAAATCTTAGGGTTTCCATCCTAGCTAACAAGCTAATTATCTTTTTTTTTTTTTTCTTTTTTTTAAACTTGCCTCAATAAACTTTAGTTAGTACAAAATCCCTTCATTTTTTGCTACTGAGCACATCTCTGTTCAGTGGACTCTACTTTGGCTGTTGGTGACAAACTGGGCAGTCCTCTTCCAGAGAGAAGGAGGGGATTGGGGGTCCAGGCTTTGCTTGAAAACCCCAGCCTTCAGGATGCCAGGATGCTGTGCGGTGGAAGCACCACTCCTCCCTGGAGGCATTTAGTAAATATAGGCTGCTCCTCCCAAATGGTTTTGACACATGCACCCCAACTCAAAATACATTTGCAAGTAACTCTTACAATGAGCTAAAATATGCTTTTAAAGCAAATTCATTAGTCATCAAGCAAACAACTCATCTCTTATGACAACTACCTTGGAACAGCTATTGCATGCCAAGTGCTGCTTTCCAGGCACTGCCACCCTGGCATCCCCCTGTGCCTCTTCACTAGCTTGAGGAGAAGCTTTGCCAAGCCACATGTCAGGGAGGAGATGGGGATGTGGCAGCACATACAGTTCTGGGACAGAAGACCATAAGTGGAGCAGAGCCAGAGCACTGGGTGACCTCCAAGAGGGCTCTCCCATTGTACATGAGTAGGTGGCTTCAATGTCCCTGCTGGGGATGCAGGAAGAAAGAGGCAGGGAGATGGTGTCTTGGGCTGGGAGGTCAGGACCATGAAGTATGAATATGGCTTAGGGATGGCATCCTAGCTTGGGGACATGACTTGCATGTGATAAGAGAGGATAGCTGGGACAGGTGGTCCAGGAGAAGGTTTTGGAATAGGAACGCTAGGGTCCAAATCTGATTATACCACAGATAATTTAGTCTGAAATTGGGAAAAATTATAAAGTTGTTTACTGTGGTATTTAAAACCACTAGAAACACAAGGAGTAGGGAAATGGTGTTGAAAGAATAGGAAGATTAGAATAAGGTGACCAGTAAGTAATTTAAAACCACCAGAAGGAAATACCTCTTTACAACCCATATGACCAGCTCATGGAATTATTAGCTAAAGAATCAAATACTCCAGCTAGATTTTTAAAAGCAGTAGTTAATTAAATGACTGATACTACTATGCAAGGTCTATACCTGGATTTAAATTAGTATTGCTTCAACTGGACAATTATTTTAAAACAAGTTCAGAATCTCTGCTATTATTTAAAGATAAGCATGCAAAGATATTGATGATAATATTTTAATATAGGAGCACAAACTGATTTTTGAAAGGTTTGGAAAGAAATTCCCCCACAATGTACTATACAACAGGCAAAGTGCACTAATGAATTTTGGTTTCCATTGGAAAGATCAAGCTGTATCTTACTGCGAG